AGAGAAAGAGAAAGAGAGAGTGGGGGGCGGGGGTGGGCGGGAGTGGGAAAGAGGGAGAGGGAGAGAGAATCTTAAGCAGACTCCATGCCCAGCTCGGAGCCTGACACAGGCCCAGTCTCACAACCCTGAGACCATGACCTGAGCGGATATCAAGAGTTGGTGGCTTAACTGAGCCACCCAGGAACCCCTGAAGGTCGACTCTTACCTCAGTCAGCCCTCTCTGCTCAATCTCATTTACGCAATGGACAACAATGGAGGGGATCATTGGAGAAGTCTGGGACACATAATCTGCCAGCATTCCCTGAAAAGAGAGAGTTTTAAATTATTATTTATACCACTTAGACCAGCAAATCAAGACTAGTAGGAAAAACCATCTCCAAACTAATACTCAGGCTGGGACATCAGGTTTACTTTTAAACTCCTATTCCCAAACCATATATTAGAACAGAGACTCTCAGCTGTATTTTTCCTACAACCCCAACAGGACTGATCTATGGTCACATATACCACACTCTTGCATGAACAAGTAATAAGACCACTAGCTACAACTCTGTCCCTGCTTCTCCTCTCCTCAAGGGCCTCAGAAAGCAAGCAATAATGAGATTACAGGTATGGTCTTTAATATGAACTAATTTATTGTTCTAAAAAAGAAAACCTTTTTTACCCTTTAATTTTTCTTAGAAAAATTATTTAACACAACTCACAGTTGATCGGGACACAAACCTATCTGTAGAGGAGAACTCCATGGTTCTCTATCAGAGTAGAAAAAATTTGTAACCAATTACATGCACGAATAAGAACTGTTAAGATTAAAGAAAAGTAACATTTGATTTGCTAGGGGCTGGGTAGCAGCATAATCATTTTGTTCTGAATCTTGTTAATGTTATTCATACAATAAATAATTTCTTAATAGATTGAATCAGTTTTTAAAAATAAGCAATTGAATCTTAATAGCTTAGTATGGGATACCTCTAACATAAGAGGAAGTACATTCACAGATGAAATTATATGATGGCTGGAATTTGTTTCAAGGTAATTCACTGGACAGGGCCAGAAGGAGGACATGGGGGTACTGATAAATCAAGACTGGATATGAACTAGTAATCACAGAAGTTGAGTGATAGGAACCAGAAGTTAGTTATCCTAATCTACTTCTGTATATGTTTGGAATTTTACAAAACAAGAATAGGATGTGGAGCAGAAGGAAGAAAAGAGGAAGAAAGGAAGGGGAAGGGGGCGGGAGGAAGAAGGAAGGAAAGAAGGAAAGGGAGGGAGGGAGGATGAGTAGGGAAGAGGGGAGAGGATGGAAGGAGGGAAGGGAAGAGAAGTCTGGTATAAAAAAGTTACTAAACAGACAAACCCAAGCAGGACTCGGCTGCAAATTAACATTTTATCATTTCTCTTCATCATTTGTGGGAAAAACTATGCTTGGCATCACTAATTTTAGGATAAAAACTGACATTAAGCTTTGAAAAAGCTAAAGAAGCGGTAACACGAGGACGGCCCCCATAGGTTCTACCTCTCCAATCTTGACAGGCGTTCCTATTAGGGTAGGAATGCAGGGAAGGGGACAGCGGTCCCGACATTCTGGATGAGAGACCACACGACAGTCGCGACACTTCAGAGACAGCTTGCCAAATTTTATCCGCTTTCCACATGGAACACAAGATTCAGGTTTAATAACCTGAGGACAAAAGAGGACAGAAATAACAGAGGGGTCTGAATTAGAAAATTATCATCATCAACAACCAGCATTTATTAAGCACTTAGGATGTGCCAAACAACTTCCTAATCTCTTTACAAATACTTGTATAATTCTCACAATAGTCCTACAACACAGGTTTTGTTCTTTAAGCTAAGGAAACAGAAGCCAACAAGGCTGTGTAATTTGCATACGGTCCTCCAGCTGGAAGGGGGCAGTGTGCAGTAGTGGAAAGAACCTGTTGACAAAATCTCCACGTTAACTCTGCCACTTGCTGTCCTGTGGCTCAAACAAAGCAGTTAACTCTTCTGAGCCTCAGGTTGCTTGGCTTTTTATGAGGAAATCCAATGGGACAAAGGTAAAATGTGCTATATTCAAGCATACTATGTAAATACATATCACTAAAAAGCATAAACAACTGCTTCTGAAAAGCTGCTTTAATGTAATATTACTCAGAGAATGGAAATATATAGACCCTCTGTAACCAGCAGTCAGCCCTGAAGAGTAGAACTGAAAGGAGATCTGACATTTAACTTTCTAACACTAAGTTATTTAAATCTGTTCCCGGTATATATTACTTTCACAATAAAAAAATTAAGTGTGCCCAAAAGAAGAAAGAGCGATCACATCTACCGTCTTAGAGACAAAGTCATGCAGGCGCATCCCTCCATTACTCTGTGGAGTGCTGGAACTGTCTGTCTCAGTTCTTGGCTCCAGCTGCCTATTGCTCAAGGTGGAGTCGCTATTCCAAGGTTGCAAAGTACCTAGAAAACAAGCAACTTTAAGCTTCTTAATATTTTGTTCCTTGTGAATTTTAACCCCGATTTTAATATAACTAGTAGACAACCAGTAATTTGTAACCATAATCAGAAGCGACAACAATGGCTATGCAGAAAAATCATTTCAAGAATAATGAGTTATGGGGCACCTGGGTGGCTTAGTCGGTTGAGCATCCGACTCTTGGTTTCGGCTCAGGTCATGATCTCATGGGTCCTGGGATCAAGGCCCGTATGGGCCCATGCTCATCGGGGAGTCTGCTTGAAGATCCTCTCCCTCTGCCCCTCCCTCTCTCTCCAATAAATAAATAAATATTAAAAAAAAAAAAAGAAAGAAAGAAAGAACATATTATGTGTGAGTGGCACAGGCCAGGCTAGCAATCCAAAGGTAGAGTATAACACAGTGCTCTGGCCTTCGGAAAGCAGGAGCAAGAAACTACCCACAATATCCAATCCCTGCCTCAAAGGGTTCTAAAAAGCCAAGTCTCCCGAAATTTCACCAGTTGTTTTACACAGGCGATTTAGCTACAAACCCAGTGGACCTGTTTTCCTTCGGCTTCTTGTCCAGTATGGCACAGTCTCAATTGTGGACACAGCTTCGATGGGCCCGCCATCATTGGGAACAGTCACTGTAGTTTTTGCAACTATGGATTCATTCCCCTGAAACAAAAGTAGAAATGAGGGAAGGACAAACATGTGAAACTAATTTCCCCTCCACTATAGGGTAATTTTGGAGTGGTTGAAAAATTCCTGAATCTTGGTCAGGAACTACAGACCCAGCTCAAAAACACTCCGTTGAAACCTCATACTTTCGAACAGAAATATAGGTCACAGAGGCATACATACAAGCAACTAAGAAACAAATACAAAGCTGACAGTTGTTTACTCAGTCAGAGTGATTCCATTCATATGGATGATAAGGATCCTATTATTACATAGAAAAACTCACCAAATCTCTCTCTCAAAATAACGTTGCAGGGTTGACTCAGGATTCTATTTATTTAATTATTTATTTGAGACAGAGAGACAGAGAGAGCGCAAACAGGGGGAGGGGCAGAAGGGGAGGGAGAGGGACAAGGAGACTCCCCACTGAGCAGGGAGCCCAACGTGGGGCTTGACACCAGAACCCCGAGATCATGACCTGAGCCAAAGTCAAATGCTTAACCGACTGAACCACCCAAGCACCCCTTGACTCAGGATTCTTCATGGCTGGGGCCACTAACCTCTGATGTGTTCACAACCACAATTCTCTTGGCCTGACTATTCTTACCTGGTCTACTGTGGAGCCAATGGAACGAGTCTTCTTTACAGGTCCAGGGGGACCATCAATGAACTGTCGGCTACTAGAGCGCTGGAAAGGAGACAAAGACCAAGGAGTTCAGTGCGAAACAGAAGTTCTGAAGCACGGAAAATAAAATTATTCCATTAGACAACTTGGGTGAAAGTCCTAGGTACCAGGGCTATGGTAAATAACAATATCCTCTCTCTCATTCTATTTCCACATGAAGCTTAAGTTGTACCAACACAAAAATGCCCTCAGTGCCCTAAAAGAAACAAACAAGCTTTGGAAAAATTTAGATGACAGCACCAGAAAAAGTCGAGCTGTAATCCTATCTAAGGACATGAAGTCTTTGGAAACATATTAAGTACCCTAAACAAGCACACACGGAGCTCTGCATATCCCATTATACACACATTTCATCTGAAAATTCTATTAGAGTACAAAAGTCCTGCGTAAAAATTCCTATGACAACTCAAAACAAACTCAAGTATATTCTTTTCCACTCCATGAATGAACTAAGGCAGCCAGAACAGTGAAATAGGAAAGGTTCTGTCCTGAGTTACTACCCTGAGGATCATCCATACCACCCCCCAGCATGAATTCATTTGTAATGGGTGTTTAACTATGGTTAGAGCAACATGTCAGGAATGCTGTATCATGGAAAATTTTCTAAAGAAAACTCCTTTATTGTAATTTTGTAAAAACAACAACAAAAACTAAACAAAACCATACGTACCCTCTTTTCTCTCTTCTTCAGTTTGAAAGTCTTTACCAAAGAAGAATCCCAATCCTGTTGACAATTACACTGCATTAATTTCTTTCTGTTATTAGGCCTCCCCTAAACCCTGTGCAAATAAATTTACAGAGAACTTTAAAGGCTTTTTGAGTCAGACTGCGTAACTTACAATTTCGGCAAAGGGGAAGGGAGGGTCTCAGGTGCTGTAGCTACAGAGCTATGGTAAGTTAACTTGCTTTCTTTCCAAAATTGAAGCTATTATAATAGAGTCAGGAGTCAATACCACAGAGGCAAGAAAAGGTTAGAGAATCAACTTCTGTCGTGATTATCTTCAGTGCCTGGTCCTTTATTTCTGACTATTTCTGTAATTAGTTGTAGAACTCACAGAATCTCAGGCACTATACTGATCGGGTTAGATGTCCTTCTTACTCTTAAGGGATTGCTATCTAATCAGACGTTCTGTACAATGTAGCCACTTAAAAAGTTCTAGTTCAGGTTTTACATTTCCCAAACATCCCTCTTCCTTGGGCCCCAACAAAGACATTCACCACTGGAGAATTATGTTTTTTACCGTGGTCTAGTTTCACTTCACTTAGTTTAACCATTTACATTCATGTGATTTCCTTACTCCTAATAATCCCTGAAAACACAAAACCCAGAAACAGTAGTACATAGCAACTGGTAGCTTAGCTAAATGAAATCTAATCTCTCCAATTCCTGGTCACGTCATTTAATTTAGCTACTGATTATTTGATTCAGTTTGGGTTACAACAGATACACCATAAGTAGGTCTAGCTCCAAAATCAGCTATTAATATGTTCTCGTTTTATTATATATCCCAGACCTATTCATATCATTCCTTATTATTTATATCTATAAAATGGCAATGATTTCCCCAAACACTGATTTAGGACAGAATGCTCCTAGCCCATATAACAAGTAGTCATCACTTCTTTCACTATCAGAAAACCAACCACAAATAACCTCCTGATTTATTGCTTTGTTTGCTAGCTTTCGGCCAGTAAAACAGGCAAGATACACAAACCAATAAACCACCAGTCTCTGAACGTCAAAGACTGAAATATCAAGAGATGACCTTTTATGTAGAAACACCACCATAAGTTAAGAAAAGGGTGCTGCCCAACAAAAGCAGGGTAACAAAGAGTTTAGACCAGTTAATCACAGTTGAACAAAGCACTAAAGAGTGCCTGGAAACTTTGTCAGTCTTCTGGCTGAAGACTGAGAGCACTGGTTTCCTTCTAATTGTGAAGTATGACTAAGTTTTCTTCAAGAACCAAACTAATTCTGAATAAGGCACAAGTCTATTCTCTCCAAGAGCAGCAAATAAACCCTGCCTGGGTAGAATCTTACTAAATTTTTTTTTTTATTGCTAGCTGGGGCTTTTGAATAAGCCAGGATACAGTCAATTAATACATGTAGCTCACAGATCCATTAAATAAATTTAACCTCATACCAAATCCTGAATTCTATATTCTCACTTCCAGAAACTAAATATATAAGCCAGTCTCTTATAGCCTGTGTGGATTTTTATTTTAAAATGCTAGCACAGGGGCGCCTGAGTGGTGCAGTTGGTTAAGTGTTTGACTCTTGGTTTTGGCTCAGGTCATGATCTCAGGGTCTGAGATCGAGCCCTGCTGCATCCGGTTCCACTCTCAGTGCAGAGTCTGCTTAAAGACACTTTCTCCCTCTCCCTCTGCCCCTCCCCTACACCATGTGTTCTCTTTCTCTCTCTCTCTCATAAATAAGTAAAATCTTTAAAGAAATTAATCAATAAAATAAAATGCTAGCTCAGTATCTGTAACACATCAACTAATAAAACAGTAATAAAGGAATTCCAGAAGAGAGGACAAGAGAGAGATTCCTGAGGGAGCAGGGGTAAGAAAAATAGACAATTCTCAGAGATCAAACGTTTATTACCAGCGATTCGTCAGTCTTGTCAAAGCTGATATCTGATAAAATGGAACCAGATTCGTCAATAGTTGACAATCTAGATGAGAGAAACAACACAGTATTAGATACAGAAGACTCTGGAAAATAAAATGCATGAACGCTCAGAACGAGTCACAGTGGTCAGGTAACACCAGCAATTTCATAGCAGTGCCTTCCTATGGCGACAGCTACAAGTTCAAAGCCTAGTTGTGGTGGCTGCTTGCTATGGTTTCCATGGGAGAGCGTGGCTGTGCATGCATGAGGACACA